ATACACACAGATACACATATATGTATGTAAATCAAGGCCCCATTTTTTAGTATGTAGCTTTAAATCACATGGTAGTTTTTATTCTTTAATTCTTCATATGCATAGCTTCTGCCTCTGGTTGTCCTTATAACTTTGACTGATATGCATGGCATTTCTGTGTACTAATGATATTGTAAGACCTTTCAAGAACATGGCTTGATAACCAGAATCTGTGTTTAGGCAGAATGAAATAATGAAAGGTAAGTCAATCAATGGTAAGTATTACTATAACATGAAGCATGCCGATGAGAAATATCTCCAAAAAAAATAGCAACTCTCTACCCATGATGGTAAATGTGACCAGAGGCCAGGGAACTAGTTTATCTTTCCAAATGAGGATATTGTAGGGCATAAGTCATAATGGAACAAGAATGTTTAATGATTAAAATGGTCATTAAAATGGCAGTCTAGCCATGCAAATTTTTTCCCCTAAGAGCAAGCAATTTTCATAGCATTTATTACTTAATTAAATTATTTTAAATGAGTGGAGCAAGGATGAAGTGTTTTTTTTGACTATCACTTCTTCATTTATGTAGTAGTTCCTTAATATGTATTCCTGGTATTATGTTTATATTTTTCTTATTTTTATTAATTTTTAGTATTTTAATCATACTTTTCTCATTTAGTTCACTTTGATTAGTTTTATGATATTTTAATTCTGACATAAGAGGCAAGATCATTATAAAATATCAGTTCACATTTACCCAGATACATCTATTTCTGGAAACGTATGTTTGATATTATGCATTTAAGATGACCTCAGGTAGAGTTATTATAATGGTAAATGTCAGTCCAGTAAAAACTCATGAGCAAATCAGCCATTGTAAATTATGTATTTCCTGAAAAAGAAATAGATGGTAGATATTTCATGGCAGCAGCTTTATTGTATCTCCCTTGTGTCTACTGAGGGCTATTTTAAAAGAATAGACAACTTTTCCTTTAAACCTACAGTATGCATTACCAGTTCAATGTGTCTAATTTTTCCAATCTACATTAAGATATATTTTTATTAATTACGCCCTTTGAGAAATTGACCTTAGCTAAACTGGTGAAGTAGGATGGTCTCAGTGTTGTTTTCGGCAAACACTCAGTGCCAACTGTGGGCACGTCTCTGGGAAAATGTTCCCTTCAAGGTAGAAGGAGTTTGTTTTTATGTCAACACAACAGAGAACAAACAAGAAATAAAGACCACTTTATTTATTAAAAGCTTCTTCAAAACTTTGATGAAAAGAGATTTTAGGTACTTGGTGAATGTGTTTTAGATACATAAATAAAATCAACTGTTTTCTTCTCATATTTAGAATATTTTTATCCAAATCAAAGTAATATCTTAAGTTCATGAAGAAGTAGTCCGGGTTTAGTGAAATAAAGGCATAGGAGAAAATATTGATTCTGTCCAAGCTCATCTCTAATATAATATAATATCTTTGTATTTTTATCTGGAAAGGCATCCCTTTAGACAGACTTTAAACCAACCAAATTTATGATCTCTCTTGAATGTCTAAAGAAAAGATTGCACTAGTATAACCAGACACTTTTTACTTTTACTGTTTTCTTCAATTTTTTGTTTAGAGTGGTGATTGTAGTGAGAAATTCATGTTCTACTCTAGTTAATACCGTTATTCAAGAATAGATAATCCCACTCATGTATTACTGATATTCTTTGCTTCTCTTTCTCCTGTTGCTATCTGATGTTTGGAATTTAAGCATTCTATTCCTCGTTAAAACCCACATCAGAGAGCGTTTGGGGCATACAGGGAAAATCAAATCAATCTCTTTCTCTCTGCTTGTTACAAGCTGCATTAAGAGAAGTAAGGAGGTTCAGAGTATTGTAAAAAATGAAGTTCTGGAAAACAATTCTGAATTTCATTTATCATTCCCTGTCATCTATTAGTATGACTAAACTAGGATTCAGACATTCTGGTGGTCTATTTGTCTAGAGGTATGCACTGGTATGGATTTTAAACAAAACCCATAGGAAGTTTTTGGTTTGGTTTGGTTTGATTCTTTTTTAGATTTCAGAATTCTTAAACTATGAGCTTTTATATAATGGAATTGTGATCTATTACTTTCCCCAAATATAATATTATCATGTTTTCACCGTATAGATTGCTATCAATCTAGAAATGTGTGTTGGGCACCTGCTATGAGCAAGGCATCGTCAGCAGAAAGAGATATATACACGATATGCTCGAAGATCTCAGTCTTCTTTCTTGCATATTGCATTGTCAAATATAGCATGAGATGCTGGCTTGCAATCTGTGCAATTACTTTCCTTTACCTCACATAACAGAAGGGCACAGCTTTTAATATGATGAGTATTGAATAAAGTGCCATCAGTGGCATGTGGTAGGAACACTTGTATTTTGAACTGTACAATATGTCCTAGCTCCTCTTTGGTAACACCCCAATTTTAAGGAAAAGATACATTGTAGACTCACAAAGGAATATTAAATTGTTCCTTAATATTTCTCATCCATACGATCCCATGTACTACAGCAGAATCTATATACACCAAGATAAGAGATCTCAGAAAAAACTGCTTACCCATGGGGTGACTCCTTTACATTCTTGTTCATAGACCAATTTATCATCCTCAAAAAAGTTACACACCAAGACAAAAATCAACATTGGTCTAGGACTCTTGAGAGAAAGGTGCACATACTATTTTCAAAAGATGTGTGTGGCAAGCACTACGTTTTAAAAATGTACTGTTTTATTTTTATTCATGATGTAGGAGGGAGTAGACAGCTGGTAGGGGGAGGACACCCACTTGTTTTCTCCAGTGAGTGGTGTGTGATTGTGAGGAGAGCCTGGGTGTAAGTTTCATGCAGTCAGACCTTCAAATGGAGAAATGAAGGCCTCTTTGGCACCAGCTGGCTGCCCACTTACAACTATTTTGCAAAAAAAATAAAATAAAAATAAATAAATCCATCAAGTTCATTATTTTTATTCCTATAAGCATTGTCCCTGGCGGCTAACCCTATCTTGGAAAATGTTGATTTTTTTTAAGAAATACTACTCTGGGAACATAAGAATATAAAATGCCTTTTTTCCCCCAAGGCCCGGATTTATTTTTGGGTTGTTGCATTGGAAATAATACAGATAATTTAGATTAGGGAATTGGACTAGTGTCTTTTCTAAGATTCTAGGAATCTCTCCCCAACTAGTAGATCGTAACTGTCTCTGTGAATTTTAGCAGTTATCTTAGGAGCAGTTTAAAACCTTAGTTTGTTGAGGATAAAGCTACTTAATATACAGACCAATTCCTAGAACTGGATCTCTTTAGAAGCGTTAAGATTCCCCACCTCTAACACTATACAAACCATGGAATTGTCTTCCATTTTCTCCAGGGTATTTAAGAATATGTAGTTATAGCCCCCGTTATGTGACTGCAAGCATGAATCAAGTATACTAAAAAGTAGAGGAGGCCCTACCTATCTATATGTGTATAAATATGTGTCTTTTCTCACTAAGCACATTACTCTTGGAGGACCAGACAGTCCTGCTGGAAACATCGAAAGCTGTGGAATTCAGAATATAACATTGTTTTCCCATTCTTTTGGATTTCAGCTCTGTTTAACCTCATCCCTGTGGGTCTTCGAGTGGTGGCTATCCAAGGAGTTCAAACCAAACTGTATTTGGCAATGAACAGCGAGGGGTACCTGTACACCTCGGTAAGCCTTTCACAGTGTTCATGTTTTGAATGTTGTAGTTTTCATCTGATATGAAATAAAATATGCTGCATATGTGTAATCATGGCAGATTTCTGATATGCAATAAAGAGTGTTCTTCATGGAAAGATCTCTTTGAAAGGACAAGTTAACTTCTAGTGAAAATTACATCTATTACTAATTAATCATTTAAAGCTAACATTTGGTATAAAATCAAAGGTCCACTAAACATTTTTACATACAGTGGCATTGGGTTATTATTTTATGTAGTATATATTATAGTGATCTGCCTTGCTTTGTAGCTACGGGAAAGCCTTTTCTATAACTCAGTTCAATATATATATTTATCCATGTTTATTCTTAAAGAAATTATTGAGAGCTCTTCCTCAGATTACCTTTAGGACCTAAAGAACAGTTCTAGAAGTTTTTGTTTCTTATCTTCAGTTCAGTTAGCTCATGTTTGCTGTCTCTACTTTAAATACTATTATTCCATCAAGCACAATTCAACCTCTCCTTTCATACAAATTCCTGCTACCTTTTTCTTATGAGTTGGTAATGAACAGAGTAAAAAAATGGAACTTTTACCAAGAAATTTATAAACAATGCAGATAACAGTTCAACATCGGGAACATGGTGCCAAATTAAGCTTTAAAAAAAATTAACATTTAAATATAGAAAGAAATAGTACCAGGATTAGGATTTCATTCTTATCAACAGAGCTAGTTACAGATCACAGGAGACCATTTAATATATAAATATTTTTAATCTTTGTTTTGAATTTCATATATTTTAAAGGATGGGATGTTAAAAATGGAGAAAACTGCATACCAAACTTCCTACTAGATAGCCTTGAAGGAGGCTGTTACCACGACTGTAGAAATCTACTTCTCAAACGGAGATAGTGTTAACCCCTCTTGCTCTCTCCTGTTCCCTGAATTTACTGCAGAGCCAAGTGTGTAGAAAGACTCTTGGTAGAGACAGGAGGAAAGCATGTCATAACCCTTTTTCAGAGGCCAAGATGGAAAGAGAGGTGGGAGAAGAGTAAGACCACAAAGGGCCTATTTCTTCCATAAACTGGGTAGTCCATTTCATATTACAATAAAAGATTAATTATCAGCATAATCCTCAAACCCTGGCCACTATTAGCATTCCTCTCAGGTCATTTCAGCTGTTTTGTTTAGTAAATTCAGGGGTTTTATTCTTTTTACAAATGGAAGATTTGGATTTATTGCAAATTTCATGAAATCTGTCATTTTATTAATGCACTGCTGTTATTGTAAATGATAGGAAAAGGGATTTGCTTTTCAGATTTGTACATCAAGGTAAGATAATTTAATATTGAAGGATTTTAATTAACCTCATTCAGATCAACAGACTACCTTATCAGGACCACATACAAAGGTAGGTTTTTAATAAAATAAGTGACTGCTTTCTGAAACTACTATGTAGGCATGAGAAGGGAATTTAATATACTGGGCATTCTTTTGAGAGGGTAAATACCAGATTACATAGGGAATAATTACTAGCAAATAATTTCACTGAGTTGTGGTCACCTTTGTCGTGCCTTGTTGAGAATGATTGTGTGTGTGTGTGTGTGTGTGTGTATTGAAATAGATATTTATATATATTTAATCTTACAATATAATTTTTAAAAATGGAAATAGTATTTAAATTAGAATGAGTAAAAGTCATTTAAATTAGGTAATATGTCATGTTTCCCCACTCATGAAAATTAGGACATTCAATATTACCTTTAGGGAACTGATGTTAAAAATGCATGGCCTACTATTCAAATTGACCATTATTTCAGCAAATCGATAAATGTCAATATGAGCTCATTTCTAAGGAATGTTTCCCAAGAGAATCAACATTGTAGATTGTTGGGCTTCTTTTCTATGTCGGATAGGCCAATGTTAAAAATTGAGAAAACTGCTTACCAAACTTCCTACTAGATAGCCTTGAAGGAGGCTGTTAAAGAAATTATTGAGAGTAATGTGGGACTCTTTGCATGCATTTTCTATTAAGGAAAAGGAATCTTAAGTAAGCACTTCCTATTAAGAAAAGAAACTGTTTTTGTTAAGAAGGAAAGATGTCCAATTGATAATCCTGGCGTTTATATAGGGAAAAATATCCAAATCAGTCTTCTTCAGATTACATTTTTCAGTTTTTTTCTCATTCCTCCTATTGATCATGGTTTGGAGTCCCTTCATCATGTTGATCACCAACCTCTGTGGGCACTCCATTTTGTAATCTTACTTAAAGTGTGGTACTCAGACTCTCTTAGGATATAGTCTGTCTTAATGATTTCAACTTGTGTTGCTGTGACCAAAAAGCTAAATGAATGTCATGCTTCATTTTGAAGAGAAAGGACTACTCTGCCCTTACATAAAACCATGGCACTTCTTGCTACTGAAATACTGTCTGCAGTTTTTTTAGCTGCCACTTAGCAAAGAGAAAATAGGATTGGACAATAACCTAAGGAGGAAGCAGAATAAGAAAAGAAAGTAGGGGCTACTGGTGTGGGCAACTAAAAAAAAATGTTAGAAAGTTATTAAAAGTAATCTTGGTGAGATATGACTAAGGTCTGCCTTAAAGCTTTTGCAGTGGCAAAGGTTAAAAGGAGATGAATTTATGAGATATTTTAGAAGTAGAATCATCAGAATTTGGTAGCTGATTGGATTTTACAGAAAAGCAGGACCACCATAGATGGCTGAACATGTATGGTTGCCACTCACTGCAACCATACATGTAGAGATTTTTTTAATAGTAGGCTATTAGGGGCCCTGCGGGAGAGGGAGAATTTTACCTTTGGCAGTTGGGTTGATGGTGAAGCTGTTCACTGAGATGAAGTACAAAGGAAACAGAGAGGAATTGGAGAAAGAAGATACCTGAGTACAGCTTGCAATAGATATTTGAAAATATGAACCTATAGCCTGAGAAAAAAGATGTGAGCTAAAGATAAAAGGTGGGAGTTATCACATGTAGGTGGTGGTTGATGCCACGAGGATAGTTGAGAGAATATGTAGCATAAGAAAAGAGAATTTGTCAAATAATATTATGGAATACCAGCATGGAAGTGGCCAACAGCAGCAGAAGTAATTGTGGCAGATACCATGGTATTGCAAAAGCTAAGTGGGGAGAGAGTTTGCAGAAGAGTCGCAATGTCAAATGCTTCAGAGAAAACAAAAAAGAAGTAGGAATATACAATATGAAGGTCTTCAGTGATCTTGATGAGCATTTTCAGTGGAGTAGTGGAGACCAAAGCCAGTCTAGTGGCTTTCAAGGAGGGAGTGGGAAGAGAGGAGGTAGAGGCAGTAGGCATAGAATTTCTAAGGCAAGAGGTGAAATGGATGAGTATGTAGAGGTGGACACAGGGTTGAGGAAGGCTTTGAGGGTTCTTTGCTTAATTAAGGCACTTGAATATATTTGTTAGCTGAAGAGAAAGAGCCAGTAGAGAAGGAGGAATTAAAGATATAGGAAATGTGCCTACATTCTCTTAGGATATAGAAAATGGGATCTGATGCGATGGAGGGAGTGCCCCAAAGGAGTTTGGGAGAGTGATGGAATTAGCAGATTTAAAAAGATTAGATTCACTTTGAAAAGGATCACTGCTTCAATAAGAGGCAAAGAAACGAGGACAGATACAGACATAGGTGTAGTAAGTCTGCAGGTGATGGATAGGGGAGTTGAAGAATTTCCAACTAGATGACCTGTATTTTCCCATTAAAGTAGAATGAGAGGCCATCTGCTGAAAATCAGAGGCAGAGGGATGGCATAGGTGAAGGTTCGAACTAGTTGTTTTGGGAAAGGGTAGGGGAAACAGTCTAATGACCAAGAGTGGGTAAACTGTGGCCCACAGGCCAAATACGGCCTACCACCTCTTTTGGTAAATAAAGTTTTATTGGAACAATCACCTCTATTATTAATTTACTTATAGTCTGTGGCTGTTTTTAAGCTGTAACAACAGAGTTTTATAGTTGTAACAGAGCCCTTGTGGTCCACAAGCCTAGATTATTTACTATCTTGATCTTTACCAAAAAACATTTGTTGATCCCAAGTGAGACAGTAGTTCTCAACCTTAGCTACTTATTAGAATCACCGGGGGACCTTTAAAAAAATTCATTCTCTGTGTCACACCCAAACCAATCGTATCAAAATTTCTGAGGGTGGGATCTGAGCATAAATATTTTCTAAAGCTACCCAACTGCTGCTCTTGTGTAGCCTGGTTGACAACCACTGGTCTAGGGCTAAGATAGATGATTGCTGAATAGCACTGAGAAGCCCACAATGAAGTCAGAAACCATGAATTTATATGTACTTTATCCTTCACTCAAAGTTTCTGATGCTGATCTTACTTTTCTTCTCTTGCAAACAAATTGCCTTTGTATTTCTGAAGGATTATTTCTTGAAGTGAAGGAAAATGATGATCCTTAGAAGAGCTTTCTTATTTTATTTCTTTTTTTCTTTTGCATTTTTGCTTCTATATCTCTTAATTTCTTTTAAAGTCAATTTTACATTTTTACCATATCTTCCCCCCCTTTTGTCAATTAAATGAAGAAATAATACCCCTGTGTTATTGCTATAGAATCTCAGGATTCCTACACTAAACCCTCCCCCTCCCTTTTTTTCTTGTTGCCATGGGGGACAGACTTGATGTAGGCTCAAGTGGCAGTGAGAAACCATCTGTGACACAGAGAATCATAATTAGCCATTATTTCATAACACATTTACTTTTGTCCATGATATAACTAAGTCTTTCTGGAACTGTAAGGAAATTATTATTCATTGTGCATAGAGAACTTTGTTCATACCTTTGGGTTTTCTTTACCAATAATAATGAGTTATATACATGCTTCTAAGAGTTCCTTAAAACCTAATAGTATATATTTAATAATGTAAAGCTATTTGTAATACATATTTCAAAACTGCTTGAAATAAATGAACATTAACTATAGAAAATCAGAATGTTAAATGTGAAAATATTAATGTACTAGTATCTATTT